GTAATAAAGCATGCATATCATATACTTTACCATTTGAATGTGTGTAGGTGTACTGTACCCTGAGGCACACTTACACTCTGTGAGCTCATCATGGCCAGTCATCTCCAAACTTTTCCTGTTCCCAATGCAATGAGCAAACTAGTACACAGTAACATCCACCCACGTCCCTGGGGCCAGCCTCTGTTCTGCAGCCTGGTGAGTCTTTCAGAAATGTAGACTCAAACTATTTATCCTCTCATGTCTTCATTTTTATATTATTTAAGTAATTTAGTAATAATTAGTATGAGAATGAAAATTCGGAAGAAATGTTACTTATCCACCACACACACAAGCACACACTCACTAACACACATCCCCAAATTTATCACAATTAATACAGTACTTGAATCAGAACCTTGGTCCTCAAATATGTTTGGCAAATGCTTGTTTTTTGTTTGGAGAAGTGTTTGTCTGTTTACAGTGCTAGAGATTTAACACAGGGCCTTATCAGGCTAGGCAGGCACTCTACCACTGAGCTATATCCATAGCCCCGTCTGTATAATGTTTCTTTTAGTAAATTAATCCTACAGAGTTAAAAAAAAAAGAAAAATCCAAAATGCATGTTTTTTAAAAAAAAAAATTAAGCAAAACCTGATTTGAAATGTTTTAACTTTAATTCATACTCATAATAATTATCATACAAATAATCAAATCTGATGAGCAAATGATTACTTAAAATAATGACCACAAAGAAAAGATTCAAATAACCTTAGCACGAACCAAACAGAAATTACTAGGAATTAGACTGCCAGCATGTTAAATTCCTCTGCAGCCTAGGAAGGCAGGCAGGCAGGCAGGCAGGCAGGCACACAGGCAGGCAGGCAGGCAGGCACACAGGCGGGCAGGCAGGCAGGCAGGCAGGCACACAGGCAGGCAGGCACACAGGCAGGCAGGCAGGCACACAGGCAGGCAGGCAGGCACACAGGCAGGCACACAGGCAGGCAGGCAGGCACACAGGCAGGCACACAGGCAGGCAGGCACACAGGCACACAGGAAGCAAATACTAGCACTATTGCTACTATATGGAACTTTTTTGAAACGTTTACCCAGAACCATCAGCATCTGACAGGAACTCACTGGAAATTAATATATCAAGACAATATTTCTTAAGGAAAGCAAGCTAAAAACCAGGAAGCATGCACACAAAAGCTTCTCAAGAAACAAACAACCTGAATGCCCAAATTTAGGTTATTATACTAAAATGCAATAAAGAACCCTTCAGGTAATTACCTTTAATATATACAAAGTTTACAATAGTTCAAAAAGCAGGGAGCAGATTGATAGCAAATAATGAAAAAATCTTTCTGTTCACTGTGTAAAACTGTCTTTGTATCAAATGCTGATTTTTGTACCAACAGACAGGCCAGACTTTGGTACTAGCTGCATCCTATTTTATAAACACTCCAACACTTTCTGACTAGTTTAATAAAGAGCTGAACAGCCTATAGCAAAGGCAGGAAGGAAGGTGGGACTTCTGGGCAGAGGCAGAACTCTGGGGAGGAACTGGAGTCTGGAAGAGTGGCCAGCCTTAAGCAAAGAAAAACAAGGACTGGGAAAAGGTATTGAGAAGAGGTAATGGGCCACGAGGTGCCGTGTGGGCCAGGCCGGTGTTGTTTGGTTAGAAGAGCTGAGAATCTACCCAGCTACAGTGCCTAAGCTTACAACAAATATAATAAGTCTCTTTGTCGTTATTCAGGAGCTGGTGCTCCAAAGAAAGTCCTGGTTTAAAGAACATTATAAAACACAAAAATAACTAAAAATAAGGGTGGAGAGGGGAGCTGGAGTTGTAGGGCTTAGGGCAAGGGGAGGCAAGAACAAACTTAAGAATAAGCAAAAAGAGCCTTTCATGCCGGGGAGTGGTGGCACACACCTTTAGTCCCAGCACTTGGGAGGCAGAGACAGGTGAATCTCTGTGAATCTGAGGCCAGCCTGGTCTACAAGAGAGTCCAGGACAACCAGGGCTACAAAAAAATTACAAACAATACTTCAAGACAGTGAGGACGGGGAGTGGGGTGGCACAGGCAGTATTCCCAGCACTAGGGGACCAGTGGCAGCATAGGTGGATCTCTGAGGTTTAGGCTATCCTCCTTTACAGAGTGAGTCCCATGCTGGAGAGATGGCGCAGAGGTTAAGAACACTAACTGTTCTTCCAAAGGTCCTGAGTTCGGTTCCCAGCAACCGGTTACACGTTGGATCACAGCCACCTATAGTGAGTTCTGGTGCCCTCTGGCACGAAGGTGTACATGCAGGTGGAACACTATATAATAATAAATTTAAAAAGGAAAAAAAAAAAAAGAAAACCCAGAGTGAGTCCTAGTACAGCAAGAGGTAGAAGAGAAACCTTGTCTCAAAAATCCTTAAGGCTTGGCAATTTCTTCAAGAGAAAGCAATCTATATCCCAAAACACCAAAACAATCCCTTGAATCACCAAGATAAGACACAAACTGAAGACACCTTGCTTTAAAAACACAAGTGTATAATTATGGAAAAACAGGGCCTTCAAAGGAGAATGCTGGTTTATGAGTGAAAGGTCCTTAGCTCTCTGAAAGCACTAACCAGCTTACTTCTGAGCTCAAGCCCTCCTGGCAGCAGATACTGCCGAGTCGCTTCTCTGTTCCGGGTGGAGATGTCGATTATCCGAAGTCTATCTTAAGTCTTATATGCAGGGTTCAGTCTTACACACAGCATCTGACACAGATGCTTGCTTCTCTAACAGTATTAGGCCACGGGGACCAGAAACTCTAATAGCTTAGCATGCGACAAGCTTTTGTTGTTATTCCCTTTGCTACTGAACAAGTGCAGTTCATTTTTAGGAAAAAGCTTAACATTAAATATAAGTACATTAAATATATTACTAATATCTTACAGCATAGCCTTTAAAAGCTATATTCATTACACACGTACACACTTATGGTTTGATTTTCGGGAACATGGGCTCGATGAGTTGTCCTGGCTAGAGCTGAATATGAAATCCTTCATACATCTCAAATGCTGGGTTAACAGCCACTTATAAAAACAGTAACATTTCCTTTTGCCACAAAAACTGGTTAAGATTACATGCTACATTTATATTGTCTCTTGTAACATCCACCATTTTATGTAAACCACACTTGTCTGCAGCTCTGATACTATGTGGCAATTAGATCATCTTTGGGCCTCAGCACACCTTTATCTATAGGAGAAATAATATCTACCTCATATATTCATGTGCATATGAGATTAACCTCTGTTAACTACTAAATACAATGCTCAGCAGAGACCCAAGTCAATGCTGCTTATTTTTAATGCTGCATATTAATCAGCTACCTATTAAGAATTTATTCAGCCAGTTCTTCCCCGGCCCCAGAGTGCTACCAGCGCTGGCAAGACAGTTCAGCTGCTAACGCGACCACCTGAGTCCCCTCTCAGAACCCACTTTTAAAAAAGACAAGCGTGGTGGCACATGCTTGTAATCTCAGTGTTCGGGAAGCAGAGACAGGTAGATCCCAGGCTTGCTGGCCAGAGAGCCCAGCCTATTTGGTGAATCCCAGACCAAGAAGAAACTTTATATATAAAAGAGGGTGGGGTGGGGTATTGGAGAGATGGCACAGAGAGGTTAAGAGCTCTTGTTTCTCTTGGAGAAGGCCACCCAAGGTTCAGCTCCCAGCACCCACATAACGGCTCACAAGCATGCATTACTCAAATCCCCTGCTATCCGACCCCCTCTCCTGGCCTCTGAGGGTAGTAAGCATGCACACGGTACACAGACACACATACGGGTGAGACACTCGCAACATAAAATAAATAAATCCATTTTTAAATAATAAAATAAAAAAGACAAGGCCTGAGGAATGACACCAAAGTTGTCCTCTGGCCTCCATACGAACACATACGCACGCACACATGCACCCACACTGACAAGCGCGCGCACGAATGACACCAAAGTTGTCCTCTGGCCTCCATACGCGCGCGCGCGCGCGCGCACACACACACACACACACACACACACACACTCAAACAAAAAAAAAAAAAAAGAAAGAAAAAATAAAACCATGTAACTAAATGTTTTCAAATCCCAAATCTTCTCAGAATACATTTCTAGAAACAGAAAGCTGGCTCGTTATATTTAAACACCCAAAGTGCTCCCCAATTAGCTAAGCCACAGCCTCTGTTGAACTACGGGTTTTCTAGGTTTCTAGGAACTACAGGAAGCAGTCAGTGCTCAATCCACTGATGCTCAGAAAAACTGGCGAGAGATACAGCAGAAGCCCTCCGTTCGTTCACACCACCGGCCCTGAGGACTGCTCGGGAGGGTTAGTCAGCTTCTAACACGAACACGCCCCCTTCTCCCCCGGAAACATACTCCCTTAAAAGCAACCACCTTCCTGGAAAGAGCAGGGCTGCTGACACGCTCCCTGCCCGTCCGGCTCAGTGTCTGCCCCTCCGCCCTGCCCGCCATCCCCCGAGTCAGGCGAAGTGACTAACGCGTGACAGCCTTGGCCGCTGGACCGCGGTCCTGCGCTCCGGCAGACAGGCTGGCCCGGGCCGGCTCGACCCTCTCTGCCTCAATCACGGTTTGGAACCAGGGGACGCACGGAGTCCTGGCCGGTCCAGGTTCAGGGCGCAGTGGACACAGAGCGGACCTCGGTCGGAGGTCATTTATCACAGAAGGTCTGGGTTGCCCCGCCCACGCCGTCAACCAGAGTCAGGGTCTCGCGTGGGCGGGGAGAGCGGGGCCCGAACCATCGCACCCATCTCTCAGGCCGGCTCGGTCCTCAGTGGGGAGACTCCCAGGTCAGATGTCACGACTGGCCCCGCCACCCCGCACGGGGATGGCGCTGGGAGAAGCCAGGCTCCTACGGAACCGGACGGCCCAGAACCCTGCCCTCGGCTCCGATCTGGGGACAGTCCGGCGGCGGAGGTCGAAGGTCACGGGAGAGCTTCCGGCCGCCCTCGGGGTCCGGCGCAGGGGCACGGCGTACCTGGGCAGGAGCTAACGCCTGCTGCAGCAGCTGCTGCTCCTCGCTGATCTTCTGCTTCAGCTTCTTGAACATGGCGCGGCGAGGGGCCGGCGGCGTCTCTACCCGCGGGGCGGCCGGGCCCGGACCTCACCGCCTTCCTGTGGGGCTCGCGGGCACCTCGGGGCGCTCGTCCTGGGGGTGTTGGCGTCGCCGCCGCCGCGTCTCTTCTTCCTGGGTGCCACTGGCCGGCCTCGGGCCCCCCATCCAGCCCCGGCGGCGGCGGCGGCGGCGACAACGGCAGCAGGTGAACGCGCCCAGGGCGCCTGCGCGGCCGACGTGGAGCCTGTCGAGGGCTTGCTACGGAGCGCCGCGGTGGACAATTTGGAAGCGGTGTGGGTGAACGCGCGCGCGCAAGGACTCCTGCGTTGAAGCCAGACCGGGTCTTGGCGTTGTGCTGCCAAGTGGCGGAGCTTCCCCACCACTGAGCAAGCACCACAGTGAAGAAGGCTGGGGTGAGAGAGGTTGGTTGGTTGACTGGCTGGTTGTTTGGTTGGTTTTAAAAGAAGATCTGAGGCCGGGGATGTAGAGCGCCTGCTCAGCATATACAGGAGGACATGGATTCTAGCCTCAGCAGCACATAAACTGGGTGTGATTATGCACGCCTGTAATTCCAGCGTCCAGAGGTAAAGGCAGTAGGACCAGAAGTTCAAGGTCATTCTTACCCATGTAATGAGTTGAAGGCCAATCTGAGCTACAATGAGACCTTGGCTCAAAAATTAATAAATAATCCGGCCTTACTAAACAGACTGGCCTTGAATGTAGGAGCTGAAGTGATTTTCCTGCCTCCAGAGTAACTGAGACCTACAGGTGCACGGTTTTCTACCTGGTCAGAATTGCCAGCCTTTGATATTTGTGACTGCACTCAGAGGGGCCGTCATGCCCCACCGAGACTTTCCGGTATGAGAGAAAGCCTCCTGCATTCACGCCATGTAAAGTACTTCTGTGAGCTTTGCTCACCAAGTCCCATGTGAAGTTTCTCAGCATTCTGGGTTCTGCACCAGTCACTACCTGGATGGCATCCATTCAGTTCTGACCCTTCAGACACAGCGGTAAGGTCCAGGCATGCTGGCAAACAGCTCTAACTCCAGCACTCGGATGCTGAGGCTAGTTGATTTCTGTGAGTTCAAGGCCAGCCAGGGCTACCCTACATAATGACCTGGACTCAGAGACAGACAGACAGAGAGACAGAGAATACCAGATCCCACAGGTTGATGCTTCCATCCCATGACTGCTCCCAGCTTCCAGTGTCCAGTCACAAGCCCAGCTGGTCTGACTTGTGTTTCTGACCTACCAGCTATTATGGTTCCTGGGGTCCCCTCCTGAGATTTGATAGATTTGTTGGCACAACACACAAAACTCAAGGAAATGCTTTGCTTACATTTACCAATTCCTTACAAAGGGATGGCAAAGAATACAGATTCATAGCCAGAAACCTGAGGAAAAGAGTCCTGTCTCCAGGCATATAACTCCCCTGTCTTACTTTGCTTGCAGACATTCAAGGCAGGAACCTGGAGGCAAGAGCGGAAACAGGCCAGGGAGAAATGCTGCTTACTTGTTTGTTCCCTGAGGCTCACCCAGCTTGCTTTCATATACCACCCAGGACCTCCTGCCTCGGGGCGGAGCAACCCACAGTAGGCGGGGCCCTCCCACCGTCAATCATTAAGAAAGATCATGCCCCCACAGACTTGCCTACAAAAATGGTTATAAGGGTTTACATTTTAAAGTGAGAGCCAGGCAGTGGTACTCACACCTCTAATCCCAGCACTCAGGAGGCAGGTGGGTCTCTGAGATCCAGGCCAGCCTGGTCTACAGAGTGAGGTCTAGGACAGCCAGGGCTACACAGAGAAACCCTGTCTCAAAAAACAAACCAAAAAAAAATTAGGAAAAATAACCAATGGGGTGATTCCAAATTAATAAAATTAGAGATTAAAAGAGAACATTAAAATAGACACAATGAAATCTAGAGGGTTATTAGGGAAAACTTTGAAGACTTCTATTCTAAAAAGAAGTAAAATTAAGAAAAAAAAATGGATGAATTCCTAAACATATACAACCTACAAAAACTAAGAAACACCTTAAATATTTCTGAAATGAGCAGTGAAGTTAGGACAACATTTTAGTCACAGTTCTCTAAAAGAACAAAACAGATGGCGTGAACATATAACATGTTTGTGGGGGGGGTGATTTCTTAGGCTGACTGATGGAACGTGGCCTGGGTACCCCAACAGGAGCTGTCCAGATGTGGTGGATAACCACAACCCACCATCACCAACAACCGAGGACTGAACAAATTCACAACTGGGAATTCTACCATACTCTTAAAGAATTGGCAATCTTAACAACCTGGAAGGAATACAACTTATTCTATGTAGCCAGTATTATACTAATGCCCAAACCAGGTAAGGACACACAAACACACAGAGAAAACTATGTGCCAATTTCCCTGATGAACATAGGCACAAACATTCTCAGCAAAATACTTGCAGATTTGGAGGCTGGAGATGGCTCAGCAGCTAAGAACATTTGTTACTTATGTAAAAGTAGGAGCCAGATTCAGTTCCCAGTATCCACATGGTGATTCACAACCCTCTGTAACTCCAGTTCTAGGGGCTCTAAAACATTTTTATGAACTCTGAGGACAGCAGACATGCTATGGTGCACAGTCAGAAATGCAGACAAAACACCCATACACATAAAAACAAATATTTCTTAAAAGCTATATGTTACAAACATCTAAATGGAGAAAAACAGAAAACATTTCCTGCAAAGTTGGAAGCGCAGCATGGATGCAGTAAGAGAAGAGAAATAAAAGGGATTCAGACGGGAAAGGAAGAAGTCCAAATTCCCCTATTCACAGATTAAATGACCTGGTACTTAAGAAAGCCTAAAGACTCCATCTGAACCCTTAGATTGAAGAAATACTTTCAGTCAAGTCTTAAGATACAAAATGAATAACAAAAATCAGTAGTTTTCTGCATACCAATAATGAACTTTAAGAAGAAAAAACCTGGAAAAGCTTCCCTTTACAGCTACCAAGCAAAACAAAACAAACACTTAGGAGGATAGCTAGTCAAGGCAGCGCAGCTCACACAGGACCAAGGCAGCCATTGAACTGAGGCCACTGTGAAGCCGGTGCCCTTGACCCACAGCTCCCATGACACTGATTCCTCTAAGTTCTCCAAAGCTGCTCCCTAATGGCTGGTTGACCATTATCCCCATCGGTGTAGTTGGTCTTTTTGGTTGCAGTACTGAACTTGTACATTCAGACAAGTATTCTCAAATGTAAAAGTATATCCACTGCATTTTCTTTCCATGCCAGATTCCTTAACACTTTTAGCATGGATGAAATTACACAGGCATTCATATGCACACGCATGTTAGAAGAGGGGAGAAGAAACCGCTTGGAGATCGCGTGCGTGCGTGCGTGCGTGCGTGAGTGCGTGCGCATGTGCGGGCCTTGCACCTGATGGGTGGGTGCTGCACACACTGAGCTATCACCCAGTGTTTATTAGAATAAGTGACAGAGCTCGGGGATCACAATGCCGGGCCTTCTACTATCCGAATGTTCTCATTTGCACATCCATGTTAACATTTACTTTTGTACATCATAGTAAGGCCGTGGAGATCACTGCTATAAAACCCTGGAGAACCTCCCTCAGGAGCCAGGCCTCTGCATCAGAGTCTAAGCTTAGATGGCGATTCAACTTGGCATTTTACCAATGTTTTGGCTTGGAGTAACTTCTTTTCAGAGGATTTTTTTTTTTTAATTATTCATTTTTAATTTAATTCCTATTGTAGACCAAAAGTGAACTAACTAGAAAAACTGAGGGCCTATATGTTGTTGACTAATATTTATTATTGATATATCTTTTAGTTAAACAGTGGTTATTCCTAAATCAGCTGTATACCCAAATCACCATAGAGAGATTAGGATTTATTTAATTAACCTAGAGCACAGTGCTGGGCTATAGTTACTCCATCCTAAACCTCCAAGCCCACATAGCTTCCTACCAGTCAGATTTTCCACATTATACTTGCTCTTAGTCATATCTTAAGTCCGGTTCATCTCTCCTCACGGTTCCCAGTCCTCTGCTGCCGATCTTTCCTCTGGACTCCCCCCCCCCCCCCCCCGCCCCTGCTTCCTTCTCCTCCCTCTGCACTAGGATGCCCCACCCTATTCTTCCATTGCTCAGCACTGGCTGGTTGTTTTATTGACATTACATAGAACAGATGGTGGCATGTTTACACAAACTTGAGACAGGTGATGCTTAGAATAAACATCACAGTGCAATGTCCTAATTGAAACCAGATAGTGGGGTGGAGAAATCATCATTTGAATGAATAGGAGTAAATTGGACACATTTCACAAGAACATTATACCAACACCTGTATTATTACCATATTGCCTTTTTATTTATGAACAGGCACAAGTTAAGGGAAAGAGGGGAAAAAACAAGCAGCAGCATTGCCCAGAGGCACCTGGCCACATGGAACTAGCAAGCAGGCACCCCTTCTTGTTATTTTATTTGGTGCCCAACTGTAACAGGCTTAGTACTTTCTCATCTCCTTTGAGATACACCTGGCTGGTTTTTGTTTTTAAGCTATTCAATTTAATTATTAACAGTTTCATATTTAGTTACACAGCATGTTCCAGAAGAAGCTGCAAAGCTAGTGAGCCAATAATTGAGGTATAAAAACCATTTGATGGGGAAATCCAACCCACAGGGTTGAGATACAAGTGTTGTTTTAAGAACGAGGTCTTTGGGCAGGTGGTGTTAGCACAGGTCTTTAATCCCAGCACTCAGGAGACAGAGGCAGGTGGATCTCTTGAATTTGAGGCCAGCCTGGTCTACATAGTGAGTTCCAGGACAGCCAGACCTACACAGACAAACCCTGTCTTAAAAAAAAAAAAGTGGTCTTTTGTTAGAAAGGGTTGGTGGAACGAAATGATGTAAGAAAGAATCAAATCCCTGTTCCTTTATAAACACTTGTTAACCAGACTCTAAAGCACACAGATTTACTCTTTGGAACATTTGAATTCTGGGTTATTTAAAATCAAACAAAACCTTGCTTTATATTGATGCCTGATTCTATAAAGAGAGTGAGTGTGGGTTTGGTGACATGATAGCTCAATAGTTAAGAGCACTTGATGTTCTTACAGAGGACCAGGGCTCAATTCCCAGCACCTACATGGCGGCTCACAACTAGTTAAAAACTCCAATTCCAGGGGTTCCATTGCCCTCTCCTACCTCTGACTATTGTGTACCTACATGCATGCTGGCAAAATGCTCATACA